CCCCAAAACCCCAAAACCCCATGCGTAAAGATATTGAAATAAATAAAAAATTAATGAAATAAAAATACCTTTAAACCTGCCAAATAAATTACGACTTAATCTAAAAGTAGATTTTGCCATTTGATTACTAATTCTTTCGTCTATTTTTTTACAATTGAAAGATTCAAGAAATATCTACAGCTGCATGCTACTCAAACATCCGAGTTTCTGTTGCTGTAATACTCTAGTTTTTATAGTGCATGCTCATAATCTAAGTCCATATTGTCTATCACATAATAGATCTGAAATATCAGAGTACAAACTACTAAAAAGAAAAAGCATGCCAAAACTCCTATCAAATAAGGAGATTTACTCTTGAAATAATTGCTAATCGATCCTTTGCAATCTTGTCCCGGTGGTCCTCTGTTTAAATTTATAATCCAAAATATTACTTTCTAACATCACTGAAAGCGAAAAAGGGTGAGACCCTACACATCGCAGCACAATGGTACTCTTACTCCAAAATTTGCAATAATTCTAGATTTCTTGATATTTCCTCTTTGTTCTTCATTTGAGTTCTCATTAAACACTACTCAAATTTTGTCACTCCATTGATATGGCTTATTATAGTTTGTTGATCTTCATACGACCACTTGAATCGATCTAATTATAAGTTCAAATTCTACTTTCCTTGTGAAATATTACCAACTCTGCAAGGACAGGCATCTGTACATATATACTTATTAGCCATGTTGTAGAGTTCATCAATCTTTAAAATATCATTTCCTTCATTAGGATCATTACACTGCTGCTCAAAAAATGATTCCATCTTGTGAGTCCACTTGTACAGAGAGATAGAAACAGAAAACAGGACAATAAGGATGAGAACTTGTAGAAAAACAAGCTACAGGTTAAATTTAGTGAAATCTATCTTAATCTTACATATAGCTTCAAGCGTTTACTTATAATGCAAAACAACATAAGATGAGATAGAAAGCATATAATGAAGAAGCCAGCTATTGAGAATAGGATTTCTTATACTTCTTGTTTGTACCCTAAGTATATCAAAAGTTGATTTTTACTCATCAATATACCACAATAACCAAAATATCCTGTGCAAATCTATTCATTAAGTCAAGATTAAAACTGAATGATAGTACCCCACATATCAATAAAATAGTGATCGCTGAAGAAAAGAGATATGTATTCCTGGCATTTATCTTACTTAACTGGCAATGAATATAAGACTCTATTAACCTTGTGTTTTTAGTTTCTTTGATAAAAGTCATAAATATTTTAATTTATTACAAGCAGAATATATTTATCAAATGACTAAGGTATTAATGTGAGAAATTATTTCAAATGAACAAATAATAATTAGGAGCTATAGCAATTTCATCTAAATTTTTATTTTTTAATTGCTTCATCTTAGCATAGAGGGGTTTTGGGGTTTTGGGGTTTTGGGG